TGCATCAGCATGACACACAGAGGAGCAGGACAAGCTGAATGGAGCACTTTTCCAGTTCATAAAGTAAACATCAGTGACAGCAGAGAGATTAAAGTCCTCGAAAAAGTGGAAGACCGTTCGGCCAGGCTAACCAAAAATGGGCACGCTACATCAAAAAGGAGAGGTTGCATCACAAACTGAAGATTTAAAACTTGACTCCGGTTGCTTTTTCGTCCATTCTATCGTGGCTGTAAAATAATCTGCGTGTTGCCAAACTGACAAACTTAGATCAGTAACCTGTGTTATTCTTTAAAGAACATATGATGAAGTTCGCCCACAATGTAAAACATGTTAATAAATGTCACCTCGGGGCTATTACGCAATGGCATCATATGACATCGATGGCATGTACATGTTTCAGAGGTCATTATACTTAATAAGTCTCAAAGGGACTCAAAGAGATTGCTGTCTTTTGTTGAACAAAATTAGCTCGACAGCGTTTTACAGTGTTGGATATTTTGTAGTTTAAGGTAAAACTCCTCCGCTCTGCAGTCATGTACAACGGGATTAAAAATGAAAGAGCTGTCTTTCATTAAAAAAAATGGTACTTTTGTCATGTCATGAAAAGTCATAAAGCAACGTGATGTTAATGAGATGGCTGCGATGCGTCTAAAATAATCGCTGTTTTGAGGAAATCAAAAGCATGCCTGTCAGAAAATCAATGCGATGACACTACTCTCCTGGTTCTTCTTCTTTCCTCATTCGAAATCCCCCTGAATACAGCCTACGTTTCCTACATTTCCAAGCCTAGCTTGAATGACAATGAATTCCCACACACTGAAATGAGAATGCATGACTATTACATTCTGAATTTGCCTAAGATGCAGACATAATAGGCAAAGTCAGAAGGAAAAGGGAAAGCCATGGTTTAAATGTAAGATAAGGCGCACCTTATCATACATTTAAGAGTGGCTGATGATTACTAACCAGCAACCTGCGGCTAATCCTGAGCTCTGTACTCTTAAGTACTCTGGTTTTAGAGTTAGGGACAAACTCCAGGCTTCTGTAGTCCCTCTGACTCTCTGTCGTCGGCATCACTGACAGATTACTTGATGAGACGGAAAGATTTTTACTTACGTATGCACTGAATGTGAATACGATGGTGCTATTCTTAAATTTTTTTAGATTTTTTTTATTATTTTACCAAAGCCGTTATTGTGATGTCACTACTACAACAGCCCTCTGTAATGTAAAAAAACCAAAATGCTTTGGCACCCACACGGATACAGTTGAAACACTCTCTGTGAATCGACTGTTTCAACATGTAGTGAGTGGATGGAAAGCAACTGAAAACAAAATAATTCTACCCTCCCAGGACAGATTGCAACAATGGACACCTTGACCTTGAGTGGCAGAAATCTTAAGGCGAAACATTTAAAATCTGCTTGAGAGTGTACCATAATAGTAGTGACCACAATTGTTCGGTTTTCCACAGAAGAGGACTCGTTGGTGACCTGGGGATCCATTATATATACAAATTTTTCGTACTCATTCCAGTAGCCGATCTGAAAACGACACAAGAGGTTGACTGTTATCACATCAGCGAAAAGAAAAAGCAGAAAACCAAGCCTCCGTGCACGTGCACGTGCACGTTCGTGGGCTCTGTTTGTGCACATGGAGACGTCCCTATGTAGCCCTGATATATGATTTAATAAAAAAGCTTGTAGCTGTGCTTCTCACTTCACCTGGGCTGTACTTCAGGATAGTAGGAGTAATCTATTCCTGGTTCAGCAAATGTTCTCTTACATAATAATAAAGCAGCACCGAAAGCACGCTGGAAGGAGGATAACATTAATAGCAGCAAGAAAAATCCAATAGTCCAAAAATGCCTTATCTAGCTGTTAGAATTTGGCTATAATAACTCACTTTAGCATTGTATGCTATCAAATGCTATCTTTTATAATTATATCTTGTGTTAAAGTCCCTGGCTGTGTCCACAGACTTTCCTTTTCTCTCTTTTTGTCTCTCTGTTGCAGTAGATCCACCTTTAAATCAACACAAACACACCATTTGTTACCACGTTCCAACTGCATGAATTAGGACCTGGCCTGTTTATGCCCAGAGGTAACTGGCCAATAGGACTTGGTTGTGTCCGGTCCTTTTTGTAATTTTTCATGAATTTGATCCACTCTGGTTTATTCTCAGGTTTCCAACTAAAGAATCGGGTTAAAATAGCAAAGAAATTCGCCATTTGTTTGGTTCTTACTTCTCTCTCTATCAATAAAACATTAAAGATTGCCCGTGTCCGCTTACCCAGAGACGATTCCAGAAGCTGCATTTTGTTTCTTTCAGCCACACTCACATTTTTTTGTTTTCACCCAAGAAGTCCTCCATTTCTGGTAGCTATACTCACTCTGTTGTCGCTGTGGATATTCTCGCTCTGAGCCCGGACGCGGAGGCTGCTGTCTGCTTTCATGTGAGTTGAATTATGTGGACGTTATGGGGCCACTCCCTGTTTGGTGTCGGCTTTTTTGAGGGGGACCTCCGGCTCCCGGAGCCACTCTGATGTTTTGTGGTGTTGTGTGCGAGCATACAGGACTGTCTCAGAAAATTAGAATATTGTGATAAAGTTCTTTATTTTCCGCAAACCGATTGCCTCCATGCCACGCCGCATTGATGCAGTAATCTGTGCAAAAAGGATTCCCAACCAAGTACTGAGTGCATTAATGGACATTTTCAAATGTTTGATTTTGTTTTGCTGTTATAATTTTTTATTTATTTACTTGGTTTGAGAAAATATTCTAATATTTTGAGATAGGACATTTGGGTTTCTTAAGCTGTAAGCCATAATCAGCGATATTAAAACAATAAAAGGCTTGCGATATTTCAGTTGATTTGTAATGAATCCAGAATGTATGACATTTCACGTTTTTTAATTGCATTACAGAAAATAAAGAACTTTATCACAATATTCTAATTTTCTGAGACAGTCCTGTATGTGTGTGTGCTTCTCTCAGACTGAGCTTTTCCCGCCTTTGGCCTGTCCAATTATTCCTATCCTTAACTGTTGTTCAACCTCAGTCCACAACGAGGACGCGGAGTGGGCTGGAGTTTGAGGTAATCTTATTTACTGACCAAAAACAAACACAACTAATGGGGCATATCCGGCTTTTATCAGAGGGTTTTTTTGGGAAAAAGCGGCTCGGCATCCAAGCTAACAAACATTGACAAACGCCGTAACTGACAGGTTAACTAGCTAAATGGCTTTTCCGAGCGACTGCACTTCCTCCCCTGCGGACGTTTGTTTTGCTCCCGTGGAAACGCAGAGACAAACAACCAACGGGCCCCCTGCTTTTGGGCAGAGCTGACAAAGTGCAGCCGGACGCTAACTCGAGCTGAAGCTCTCGGCTCTGAGCTCTTTCCCGACTGTGTCAAAGCTTCAGCCGCAATTTAAATAGAATCTGACCAAAAAAACAAGAACGGAGACGTCTTCTCTTTCAGTTTGTTGTTTCTAATAAGAGACGTCTATTTTCCAGAGCTCACAGCCGACACACAATTTAGCATAAAATCTAAGAAGTTTTCGGCTGAAATAAGTGATACCTGTCCAATAAAGGTAAAAGGGAATATCAAAATGAGATTTTAATATCTATTACTCTAATTCATGTCATTCATATGATCATTTATAAATGATCTGACTGGAATATGTTCGACTATGACATTTCTTTTTCTTTTTAAAGACACCTAGCAGCTTTTCTCCAATGTGCTCTTCAAAAATTGGTTCAAAGGTTGTGTTTTTTTGTTTTCGTTTCAGTTTTGAGCCGCGTCATCATCTGTACCGCCGTCCCTCAAATCTTTTGCAGAAGTCCAGCTCCGATCTGTTCGGCTCAGCTAACCGATGAATAATGGATCATTCTCCGAACAAATGAGAGCTCTCGTGAATTGAGAGAGATTTCGAGCACTCGGCTACTGGCAGCCTCTGTCCTGCCAACATGCTAGGGAGAAAATCAAAGCCCTAATACACGGCGGCTCACTTTGTTTGCATTTATTAATGTAGCTGTGAGCTTTAAACACACAGTCCTGATATATAAATCATACACTGGCCCTGAAAAGAATATGCAAGCACACATTAATCAGATGATGATATATATATATTTTTTAAGGCTTACCCTCCTGGGGCCCGCTGGCTTCATCTCATACACATCAATGGTGTAATTAGATCGTCTCCCAAATGTGTCAAACTGGATGTTTCCTGTCATACCTTGTACTTGGACCTGCAATGCGCCAAAAATAACATAGTAACAACGGCTCTAAGCACAAAGCAAGTGAGCAAACTCCTCATGAGGCACTTCTATTGCTCCCCTTTTGTTGTCCCTATAATCCAACAGGCTCCAACAGCCTCTTTGGGACTTTTTGTTGACTTGAGAGGTCTGGAGGATGCGGGGTGTTTGTCAAATATTAAAGAATCAATAAATAAAGCCAAGTAAGCAAATGGAAGCAAGTGCAGCGTGGGCTAGAATGACCCACTTTGGCAGTCGTTGCTAAAAGAGTCCCAGATATAAACTAAACTAGCTTTTCACGCAGAATATAAGACTGCTTTAAAAATCATACTAAGGAAGTTCGGTAACAAAAGTGAATAAATAAAACAGTTTTGGGTAATCAAGGGGGGCTTCTCACTAACAAAGCCATTTCAGTTCTGCTGCCATATTGCTGAACATGACAAGGTAAAAAAAAAAGGAAAAAAAAGTCATAAAAGGAGACTGGCATCGTAAGAATTGTTAGAATTTGGCTATAATTACTCACTTTAGCATTGTATGCTATCACATGATCTATGCAAATTACTGATTGTTGTATTCCTTATACCACAAACTCTCTTCTCTCCTTTCCTTTCTTTTTCTGTTTCATTAAATCCACCTTTAGGTCAACACATAAACACTTTGTTACCACATTCCAATGTCATCTGCATGAATTAGGACCTGGCCTGTTCCTGCCCAGAGGTAACTGGCCAATAGGACTTGGTTGTGTCCAGTCCTCCTTTGAGGAGGCGGATCCAGCCCAGGAGATAATGCCCATCACCCAGATCTCAGGGCTCTTTGCCCACTGAGACCCAGAGAGAGGTTTTAGTCTGTCAGAGCGCAGCTGATACACTTAACTGTGACCCAATAAATGTCATTTTTGTACTTTTGGTCTATTATGGCAGTGTTTTTCAACAACGTAGAAAATCATCCTATTTCACCTAATTGGTCTAAAAAGATTTTTTGATAAGGAATTAATTATCTGCAAATAATATGCCATTTTTGAGTGTCTGTGCTGTACTAGTGACTGGTGGAGTAATCATGTAATAATTCCTTATGACTAGATTTTGTACATAACTTTGTATATAATTTTGTATATTGAAGTGCAAATGCAATTTGAAAGAAGAAATATAAAATATGATAAAAATACATTTTGGTGTTTATTTGATTTCTATTCAAGACACTTAAGATACGATAAGAATAAAATAAGAATAAGTATAGTGTTACTATAGGCGGCTACAGATTTGTTTAACATTTTTGGTTGGTGGTGTGCCTCGTGATTTTTTCTATGACAAAATGTACCTTGGCTCAAAAAAGGTTGAAAAACACTGTGGTATACTATGGTATATTCTCAGGTTTCCAACTAAAGCACCGGGGTTAACAGTATAAAAGGCACCGTTAAGGTGACCAAATCGTACCATTTTGAGGGCCCTCTCGATGTCGATGCCTTGGCTCCAGGGCACGGCGGGGTTGGCCAGGCAGTCCCCGGCGCTGCCCCTCCGGGACACGTCCACCCGCTGCCGCCGCAGGTACCGGAAAGCCTCCACCAGCACCAGGATGGCATCATGGGTCAGCGCCGACGTGTACTGGGGCCGCAAGAAGAAGGTCCCACACAAGACTTAGACTTAGACTTAGACTTGTACTTTATTGATCCCTTGGGAAGACTCTCTCAGGGAATTAAAGCTACCAGCAGCTTACAGGGCAAAAAAAGTGGCAAAATGCAAAGAAATACAAAAAATACAAATTAAGTATAGGTACACACTAAATGGGAATAGCCACAAAAATAAGAATATAAAGACAAAGTAAAAAAGAAAAAAAAGAAAAAAAAGAAGAAAAAAATAAAAAAAGGAAAGAAAAAAAGGAAAAAAAGAAGAAAAAAAGAATAAAAAGGAAAGAAAAAAAAGGAAAAAAAAGAATAAATAAAGGAAAAAATAAAAAACCCTAAATTAAGCAAAAATAAGCAAAGAATAAGAATATAAATACAACATGAAAATAAAGACCCCTCAGAAAATATAGGAGTTTGGACGATAGATTGACCAGTAATATGGTATTGCACTATGTGGTTTGGCCTGATAAATATGGAGTTCACATTTTACAGAAAAATACAAGCGTTGCTACTCGTTCCCTCTTCCCTCTGTCCTGTGTCACCTCTTCCTCCAATGTAATGAAACAGAATGTATGGTTGGTTAGTTGCTACTACTAGTAAAAGGCGGTAAACGTATGTCCTGGCTCTGGTCCATATATTATATACTTTATCAAGTACACGGTACAAAACATGGTGTCAGAATTTGACGACCCGTCTCCGATATGAAGACAGAAGCTTTGAAAAGCAAGTAAGAGAAGTTTCCTTCCCGTTGGGCTTTACGCGAGGAACACAAGTGTGGAGAATTTTGGGATGGTCGTCTTCAAATAGCTCAGAGTGGAGGTGCTACAGGAAAAATTCTGCTGAGGCAGAAATTGGTCGAACAAAAGAGGGTTTTTTTGTCAGCCAGGTCAGAGTCAGCGGTACAGATTGACGCATCAAGTCTGGAGAGGCCTCAACTCTGGGTGCTCCTGCCCTTATATCCTCCCATATCTGTGCTCTTGGCCTTATACCAGGCTGTTTCCATCCAGGCGTGTTGCCAGAATGTGGTTAATCCATAGCACTTACTCCTTGTCTTGTAAGGCCGTTTCCATGCAGTTGGACTAGAATATATCTATATCATAAACATCCTCCCTACACTCTACTTTGGTAAGGTGTTTCTCAGGTGTTTATGCTCAACGAACAGAACAGTCTGGGCTAAACTGTGAGCTTCAGACTCTACAGGGTCCAGAGCAGCCTTTGCATGGGACTCCTCCGGATGTTCTCCAACCAGGAACTCTTCGGGCGGATCTCCAGCCATCACTTCCCTGCAGGAGGAGGGTTTCTTCTCGGTTTTGTATTGAGCCGCCTCAGAGACCGTAGAGAGACCGTACAGATTGATGCATCAAGTCTGGAGAGGTCGGAGAAAACTCTGCCTAACTCTGGGTGCCACTGCCCTTATATTATCCCATATCTGTGCACTTGGTCTTATACCAGGCTGTTTCCATCCAGGTATGTAGTCAGGATGTAGTTAATCCATTGCAAGGACATTTACTCCTTGTTTCCTTGCCGTTGGACTAGAATATATCTAATCTATACCATAAACATCCTCCCAACACTCTACTTTGTCAAGGTGTTTTTCAAGTGTTTATAATCCACGAACAGAACAGTCTGGGCTTAACTTGAGAGCTTCAGATGATACACAAGTCTTGGGGGTTCTCACGAGTTGAACTAGCCAACTTTCCGAGGTAGCCACAAGCGGAAAAAGACGTCGGAAGGTATAACAAAATGGATTTGTACCCGGTACAACACACTGTCCTCAAAACCCCGTTAGCAGGGGAAGAAACGGACGTGCTGGGAAGTGGTTTGTTAAGCAAATGCCAGCAAAATGCTCACAAAGACAAACAGTCTCTGTTTCAGAGACGCTACGTTCAGACTTGAAAGAAACGGAGGCTTTGAAGCCGAGTAAAAACGCAAAGGCAGATATGCCTCACTGACCTTCAGCGGCGTGTTTTTGGCTTCTGGAAATTCTCTTTCATCCAGTCGCTCCCAGCGCTGGAGGAACTGCTGGACGATGGGGCTGTCCGGACTGATGATCTGAAAGCCTGTGATGTTGGCCCCACCAGAAAAAACCCTGTCCAGGCTCATGTTGGAGAAACCCTGAGAGCAGAGAGCAAGAGCTGGCTGGTATGAGAAGGGCCTCATTAACGACGAGGGAAAAAAAAATGCTGGAGCTTGTCTGCTATAACTCGACTTGTCTGACTACTACTGCGATGTATCTTGCATTACTTTTTTCTGAATTACATCATACTGGGCACTGTAGTTGTGAGGGTTTTCTTTTGTGTGTGTGTGTGTGTTTGACTGTGTGGTGTTGGGTTTTTGCTAGCTTTTTTCCTTTCTTTTGTGACTGTGTGGTGTTGGGTTTTTGCTAGCTCTCATTAGCTTTTTTTGTGTTTTTTTCTGACTGTGTGGTTTTGTGTTTTTGCTAGCTCTCAACAGGTTTTTGTTTTTTGTGACTGTACGGTTTGGGGTTTTTTGCTAGCTCCCAACAGGTTTTTGCTAGCTCTCACCAGGTTTTTGTTTAGTTTTTTGTGACTGTGTGGTGTTTGGTTTTTGCTAGCTCTCACTAGGTTTTTTTGTGACTGTGTGGTGTTGGGTTTCTGCTAGCTCTCACCAGGTTTTATTTTTTTGTGACTGTGTAGTGTTGGGTTTTTGCTAGCTCTCACAAGGTTTTATTTTGTTTTTCTGACTGTGTGGTGTTGGGTTTTTGCTAG